GGAAGATCAGGGAGGAGTATGACAAGTACGTTGTGCAGGTCAGGGGAGACAAGGACGCCCTGCTGCAGCGGATCTCTGAGCTGGATGCTGAGCTCCGCAGGTGTAGAGAAGAGCAAGAGGCCACCACTGCCCTGCGCAGGGAAGAGGTAATGGAGGATGGTGTGCGGTGAAGAACAGAGACGTTGCCTGTCTCCTCACACTGAGAGGAGATCAATCCTGTGTGTGTTTGTCTCTTGGCATAGACAGAGTTATGTTAATCGATAATGGCCACATGGGAGACTGTAGTAGATGTTTGTTAATATTAGCATGCTCTGTCTTCTACTGGTTAAAGACTGTCCTCTTTTATGAAGTTACAGCTGTCAGGTTGTGTTCATAACGGTTTGCTCCTAATATTTTCCACGTTTTATGATCAAAGCTTTAATATACCCACCTGTGCCTTTCTCGGCTTGCTTTTCAATGCTGATGAAATGCATCAAATGCGGGGGAGTAGGAAGTGGGCAGGAGAGGAACGCGCAGGCTGCATGGAGAGGCGGAAAGGCAGGGGAACACGATGGGCAGCGGAACAGAGCTGCTCCACTTGGAAAACGAAATCAAGCAAAAGCAGCAGGAAATTGTGAGTGTAAGCCATCCGCTCTGAGTGTGTGGTCTCTTCTGTTATCCCAGGCTGTGTTTCCAAGACTTCTTAGAGCTTGGCTCTGAATAAAATACATTTGTATGGAAAGTTGGACAATCAGCATTACGTACTTCACATTACTTAAGGAGTGATGCTCACGGTCGATGTCATTCTATCCTGGCTGCAGGAGCTGGAGCAGGTGCTTGCGAGTCTCCCCAGCCTGCGCACTCCTCACAGACAGACACCGCGCTCTCCAAGCCCCTCTGCTCAGACACCAGGCACTCACACAGGGAGCTCACACATCAGAGAGCGAGCCACCATCACTCGCGCTTTGTTTGAGCGGAAGCTAAAGAGGCTCCTTGTAAAAAATGTGTTTCAAAGTGTGAAAAAAGCCTTGGAGCAGCACAGATTTCAAAGTAGCGCAAGCTGAACGCTGCTCTTCTCGTATTTGTGTGAAGTTACAAGGACTTCCAACCAGCCAAATCCATCTTCTGTCTGGCGTCCAGGACCTCTTGTCGACCGAGATGGGGGGGCTGAAGGCACAGCTGGAGAAGACGAGGGGGAATGAGAGAGCACTGGCTCTCAGGCTCCACACAGAGCAGAGCAGGGCCGCACAAGAAACAGACGAGCTCCGTGCCCAGCTGGAGAGACACAGGGAGAGAGAGAAGCAGCAGGTCAGGACTCTGCAAAGCCAGAAGGTACAGCAACAGAAGACACTGACAAAAACTGTAACCTCTTTCTTACAGACACGTCGTGTGAAGATAAACAAAACTTTACATTCGTTTTATGATAATACCCATCTTGTGAAGGGCAAAGGCATTTTTTTTTCTCTAGTGGGCAGTGGCCTCGCTTTGTGGAGGAGTGCTGTTAGTGTTATGCACTTTGAAGAGAAAACCAAACCAATCTAACGTAACAAAAATATCTGCCCGTTTTCCTTCATAGCTAAGACAATGCACAACACATGCAGTGCATGCAATAATGTGGCAGACATTTAATCGTAATGAGTTTATCTTTTTAAAGGAGTGCATATTTTTGGAGTTGCAAGACACAAGGGCAGAACTCGAGAATTTCAGGGAGAGAGTCACCATAACGTTGGCTGAACTGAAAAAAGAAAAGGTAACACAATATTTAACATAAATAGCAGAATAATTATATTGCTTCAGAAAAATGTTTATCAGCAGCCTAAATCCTTAAAAAAAACAAACATTTAAATAATCAAAAGCTTTGTTTTAAAATGAAATGACTTTCATGCTTCTAGGACTAGAGTCCAGCAGTAG